ATTTTCTGCATTTCATTATGGACTTCTGTCCAAAATGTTGCAGCTTTGTCACAAGTCCACCACATATGGTAAAAAGAGCCTTCTTTTTTCTCACATTTCCAACACTTATTTGACATATTTTCATTCATATTTGCAATTTTGTTTGTCATCATATACCACCTATACATCATTTTATAACAATTCTCTTTTACATTATTACAAGTCGAAATTTTTATCGCATTTTCCCACAAATATTCCCAAGATGCCATAGTCACCTCTTTATTCATGTTTATAGCCCATTTAATCATTTGCTCTTTTACCGTCTCATCCTCTGTAAACCATTTTAACAAAGTCTTATAAAGTTTAGATATCATTTTTTCCCTTTTCTGCCCATACACATTCTATTTCATTGCTTTCCTCCCTGAATCCATACCTTTTTTTCTGTGTTGAATAAATCATAAATTTGTCTATAATTCAACCAATCATATTCAAAGTTTAGCTCCTCCCTTCCCTTTATCACAAAATTTTTCCCTTCTGTTTTTAAAATATCTCTATATGGTAACCAATCTTTGCCTTTGTGTCTCGAATATGGTGTAATTACTTCGGCCAAATATGGTGTAATTACTTCGGCCGGTACAATCCAAAGTGGTCTTGCTTCAAAGAAAAATCTTTGATATCTTTTCCACGTCTCAAACAGTGATCTTCTTATATAATGATGTTTAAAAAAATTGTCTATGAGTCCTCCATTCTTTACTTCCTTTAAGAACTTCAGAATTGCCTCTCCACCGCCGTTATCTGAGGTGGATTCTTCAATAATAATAATAATAATAACAATAATAAATAATAATAATAATAAATAATAATAAATAATAATAAAAACAGTGTATAGGTCATGTAAACATTTTTTAAATGCAATCTGCCAAGCCTATTAAAACATCAGCCTCATTAAAATACATCTAAAACACCAGCAGCACTGCAGCACTTGTGAAAAAATAATAAATAATAATAAATAATAATAAAAACAGTATATATTTCATGTAAACATTTTTTTAAATGCAATCTGCCAAGCCTATTAAAACATCAGCCTCATTAAAATACATCTAAAACACCAGCAGCACTGCAGCACTTGTGAAACCAGTGATGCAAACCCAGAGACATTTGGCCATTGGGCTGGATCCAACCAGTTTTTCGGCTGGTGGGAAAGGAAAGAGGAGTCCCCTCTGACCACCTAAAAAGACTGTCCTGGCAACCAGGAGACCTTCATGTACAGAAGCCATGAGGGCCAATGGGGGTGGGTGGGCAGATGAAGCAGAAAGGAAAACTGGGAAAGAATCAATGGAAAAGCAGGCTGGAGCCATTCTCAGTAGCTGTAGCATCAAACACATAGAATGAGTATAAAATAAACCACTCTCTTCTTTTAAAGTAAAGCAAACCTATATCAATAATTTAAGTAGGCCAGCCGGTTTGAATCTTTAGTTGACCGATTGGTAACGGTCAGCTTTCATCCACTAGATAATCCAGAGCAATTTTCAGTCTACAGAGGCCTTATTTACATAGCTGATTTGGTCTCTAGCAGGAGATAGGTGCCTCGTGTTCTCTGCCGGCTGGCCAGGGGTAGGAGATGTTGGCTTCTGCTTCAACCTTCCTACTATAGAAGGTGCCAGACTGAGCTCTCATTTCTACCTCTTTCATGGAGGGTACAGGATGGATTGCCCTTACCTGGATGGCCAGGCTAGCCTGCTCTCATCAGAGTTTAGACGCTAAGCAAGGTTGACCCAGGTTAGTACTTGGATGGGAGGCCACCAAGGAAGTCCAGGGCTGCTATGCAGAGGCAGGCCGTGGCAAACCACCTCTCTTCATCTCTTGCCTTGTGAACTCTATGGGGGTCACCATAAGTGGGCTGAGACTTGACGGCACTTTCCACCCAAAGGATGGGTTGAATTGCAGCTTCCATCCTGACATGAGTAGCAGGCAATACTCAGAAAGTCCACACAGAGTGTAGGCATTTGATTCTGTGAATGTAGCCTCAAAACATTCTGTGCTATTGCAGCTGGGTCAGTTGTCTAGATGTCCCCCTGGCAGGTTGATTTGGGCTGTAGTCACACACACTAAATAACCCACTTTCAATCCACTTTCACTGCACTTTCCAACTGGATTTTACTGTGTGAACTGGCAAAATCCAGTTGGAAAGTGCAGTGAAAGTGGATTATTTAGTATGTGCGAAAGCAGCCTTGATCTTCCCATTCTTCTGTTAAGCATTTTAATGATCAGCTCTTTTAGAAGACATCTTGCTCCTTTTGGGTGTCTGTTTTCAAAATCACTTCTCTTCTCTCCCAGGCCGCAGTGTACTTCTGCCTCAGATTAATATCTTTAGATTCTTTCCTTTCCTTTTTCATTTGTAGATTTCGATGTTATTTCAGGGCAGATTCATTTCAGTGATAAGATGCCACATGGAATATTGTCTAGAAATTACTTCCTGATAACTGGCAAGCAGCGTTTGCTAAGAGGTAGACAAAGCTAAGATCAGCAAGAGCAGAGTCTCAAGCGTGAAAGATGATAAAATCCCCTCTGGAGCTTTTAAATTCGGGTATGCTTTTTAAGAACTCTTGATCCAATTCAACACTCAGCAAGGGCTCCAAGGCACACATCAGTCCCCGGCTGCTTCCACGCAGGGGCGGGAAAAGGAAGCAAGCAGCGTGGAAGTGGGTGGGAATAGCATCCGCACACCTTGCCCCCATGCCCCTCGCTGCAGGGGCTGCCTCACCCCTGTCCCTTCCCCTTCCCGGCCATCATTCACCAGCAGTCCACACTACCACCCCACAGCCCAGCAATCCACCTTTCCCTTCCCTCTTCTCTGACAAGCTGTGCTATAAAGCTACACCTCGGCTCAGCTGTGAAACAAACAAACAAACAAACAAGCCTGTTAAAGGGCTAAAAGAAGGGAGGAGATGTGGAGCTGAGCGCAGCCATTTTGAAGGTGGAGTTTAGCCCTGCCCTCTCCCCTTATTGGCTGCAGGTTGAACATCTGCATGAATGCTCTGCCCCCAGCCACTACATAGTTCCTCCTTTCAGGCAGGTCAAAGGAGGTTTTCAAGGGGGGAAGCCCCCAAGGGGGGAAGTCATGAGAGACTCATGAGTCATATTCACAGTGAGCATGATATCATGTGGATCTCTCCTTAAATGCAGGGGTATCCTATTGTCCAGTTAGGATACAGACTTTTTTCTGTATGGTAGGTCCATTCCTCTGGAATGACCTACCCAAGCTGTGTGTAGAGAGCAGCTTTACTCACCACGTTCAGGAGGAAAGTACTAGAGATCTGTTTTACTCCAGAGGAGATATGTTGGAGGGACAACTGTTCGGGCTACATTTGAACTGCATGTATTGGTTTTTAACGTGATGCTGGAATTTTATGATGTTTGATGTTTCTGCAGCTGGAGTCTACGGAAATAAAACAGGGTATAACTCGCTTAAATAAGTAAAGCACCTTGGGTTGGATCAACGGAAAGGATTTTCATGCAGATGTCCCCACCTTCCCCTCTAGACATGCCTCCCATTGAAAGAATGTTCAGATGTACGTCTGTTATTCTCTGAGATGTTCCATACATTTTCATGAGTCTCTGAAATCATAGGATGGAAAAGTAGACAATCCTGCAGAAATAAATGAATGGGTTTGTACATCTTTATCTGCATTCTCTCCCCCCCCCCCCCGGTCATAAACCAGTTCTCTGCCTAGGGCGTGCATTGCATAAGATGGATTTTTTTGGTGTGATGGGGAGAAGCACGTTTGGGGGACAAAGAGTTGGACTAAACAAACATTGTTAAGTATGTTGTCAAAGGCTTTGTGCCTCCTTTGTGCCTACTACATATGAGAAGCTCCAAAGGGCAGATGACCCATGTTACCTCCAAGCTCTTGGATTTTTCTGTGTCCTCCTTTAAATTACTGACAGACTGTGGCATTTTCTCCTTTTTGTCTTTGCAGGTGATCTTTCTTACTGGTCTGGAATGGCTTGTTGCTGTGAGCAATGAAACATTCTGAAGCACGCAGACTCCAACAGCCCGAAGGACCCATTGACTCCCTTTCTTCTTACGATAACAAAATGAAATGGTGTGCCTAAGGTGATAACTGCTGACCGCAACCTTATCAGGAGCCCCCCCTCCCCCCGTCCACTAACAAGTGTCCTGATGGATGGCTGACAGAGGTGACACCATGTAGAAAGTCCTGAAAGGGAGTCCCAACGGAGTTGCAATGGTTTTATACACTTCCCCATTTCCCAACGGCTTTCTATCAGCGCTGCATTCTTTCTCCTGGGGCTTAATCTTCCCATGCTATTGGCTCGGAGACCGGCTCGTGGCCTCGTTTGTGCCTACTACGTACGAGAAGCGCCAAAGGGCAGATGACCCATGTTACTTCCACGCTCTCTGTATCTTCATCACCACTCCCATCTACCTAGCACTGCTCGTGATCTCCCTTCCATTTGCCATAATTGGTTTCCTGCTATGGTCCCCCCTCCAGTCTGCCCGACGACCATATGTTTATTCCAGGCTACAGGACAAAGGCCAAATCAATGGGAGCACGTTGCTCACCGAGTGGAAAGCCGCCAGCAACGGGAAAAGCTTTTGCTTTGGCAGCGCCAATGTTTGCCTCCTCCCGGACTCCTTGGCGAGATTCAACAATGTGTTCAATACGCAAACACGAGCTAAGGAAGTTGGGCGAAGGATCCGGAATGGGGCAAGCAGGCCTCAGATCAAGATCTACATCGATTCCCCCACCAACACGTCCATCAGTGCAGCCAGCTTCAGCAGCCTGGTCTCCCCTCAAAGTGGTGATAGCAATAACCGAGCCGTCAGTGCAGGCATCAAAAGAACAACATCCATGGAGTACAAAGGGGATAACTCGGGTTCAAACAACAGTGAAGAGAGCAAAGATGCCAAAGTTGGAGGGGAAACCAATGAGGGAGAAGATGGGAACACGTGCATTGTGCGGATAGGTGGAGAGGATAACGGCCACATTTCAGACCCAGAAGCTGATGGCACAGGGGGGCAGATGAACAGCAGGGGGCCAGCAGACCGCTCACCAGAATCTGAAGCAGAGAGCCTAAAAGGACAGACCCCAAATCATAAGCAGAAAGAAGGGGATTCTGGGAGTCTGGATAGCTACACTGCCTCGCGAGAGTCCCTAGTAAAGGCACGGGCTGGAGATGGCACGGTAGACCAAAGCACCGTCAACAGCAAGCTCCTTTACAAGGCCTCGCTCATGAAGAAGACTTCCGTGCGAAAGAAGAAGAACACAGACGAGGCCTTTGACCATGAGATCTCCGCTTTCTTCCCTGCCAACTTGGACTTCCTGTGCTTGCAGGAAGTGTTTGACAAAAGGGCAGCGGAGAAGTTGAAAGAACAGCTCCACCATTATTTTGAATATGTTCTCTATGATGTTGGGGTCTACAGTTGCCACGGCTGCTGTACCTTTAAGTTTGTGAACAGTGGCCTGCTTTTTGCCAGTCGCTATCCAGTCATGGATGCTGCCTATCACTGTTATCCCAACGGAAAAGGAACAGACTCCTTGGCTTCAAAGGGGGCCCTGTTTCTCAAGGTAGGACTCTACCCATGTGCTGCTCTCCTTTAGGAGGTAGCCATGGCTCAGTGCATGCAAAAAGTCCCAGCTCCAGTTCTCAAGATCTCCAGTTAAGTAGAGCATGTAGCAGGTGATGCAAAAGACCTCCACACGAGAGCCTGCAGAACTGGGTACAAGGTCCAAATGTTGACGGACCAATGGGTTGACTCAGAAAAAGGCAGGTTTATGTGTTCATGTGTCCTTTTGATTGGCATCTGTTGAGCAGGGTTCTGTGTCACTTGTAGGTTTAGAGAGCTGTAGAGGAATGGAATGTCTCAGAGCACAATCCAATCTATCTTTCTTGTGTGTGTGTGTTGTGTATGTGCTGTTATCAAAAGCCACTTGCAATTTTGAATACGCGTATGAGTAAAGTCTCTGTGGCTTCCTTTGGCTCCGCATAATAGCTCAAGGAGTTCACAGCTCCCATGAGCTTTGAAAACCCGGCTTTTGCACAGTGGTGCTTGTTGAGCAGGGCTTGTTGTCTAGAACCTGGATGAAAAATAGACAAAACTGCTGTGTTCCTGCACAACTTGCAAAAGCAGTTTGACAATAAGATTCTTTACTGCAAACTTCTTCATGATTCAGAAGAATCTGGCTCAAGTCTAAAACGAACCATCCAGAAATTCTTAGCTTTCATTTTCTTTACGAGGAAGTTCCTAGTCCTCATGGGATCAAATACGACCCCTGTGCGGCCTCTCTTTTCCTGTCACCTGTCCCTAGAGCTGTGTGTGTGTGTGTGTGTGTGTGTGTGGTGCAAATTATTTGAAAATGTGAAATATGAAAGGAGAATAAAATATTTTAAAAATGAAGAATTTTTATGTAACTCAGTCCTCTCTGCCCAGGCAGAAGGCCCTTCTTGAAGTGAAACCTGCATGCTTACACGCCTGGACAAGAATGAGTCATTCTGCAGAAGATGCATTGATACACTATTACCCCCAAAGTGAACCAACTTGTGGTGGAAAGTGCCATCAAGCTGCAGCTGATTCATGGGAGCCTTGCAGGGTTTTCAAGGTGAATAGAAGTGGTGAGCCATTGCCTGGTTCTGTGCAGTGACCCTGGACTTCCTTGGTGGTCTCCCGTCCAAGTACTAACCAGGTATGACTCTGCTTAGCTTCTAAGATCTGATGACCTTGGGCTAGCCTGGGCCTTCCAGGTCAGGGAAAACAAACTTAGTGGCGTCTTAAAGCAAGAATCTTATAAGAGACAGCTGAAGAGCATCCCCGACAAAGTAGCTGAGCTGCATGGCTTAGCAGAGTCCCTTAGGCATCCGTGTCTTGGCCAGCTGCAGAGAACACTAGCAGAAACGTGGTCAGTCCATCCCTCTCAGAGCTGAGAGCTTCTAGACTCCTGTTCCTTTCAAGCTGGCTTATCCTGATTAACAAATGTGACTTCCACACACGATTCCCCCCACTGTGCATTCATTGCTACAATGGATGTAGAGGCGTTTTCAGCTGAAATGAAAGATCTACGTGGGGATGCTGAGCTCTTTCACTCCATTTTCCCTTACCGTTTCACCCACCTCTGCACCACCAGAGGGCTCTTTGCCATCATTCTAGATGGATGGATGGATGGATGGATGGATGGATGGATGGATGGATGGATGGATAGATGGATGGATAGATGGATAGATGGATGGATAGATGGATGATAGATGGATGATAGATGATAGATGGATGATAGATAGATAGATAGATAGATAGATAGATAGATAGATAGATAGATAGATAGATAGATACACACACACACACGAGGAGTATCTATGTCGCTGTAAGTGTAGTGATCATAGCTTCCACCAATTAAACACATTCTATATTCTAAGGCAGATTGTCATTAGAATCATTTTAAGCAGTCTTTTTGTGGATGGGGGCAGGGATCGGAGGGAGGACAAGCACTGTGCTGAGACCGTTGCCAGTCCTGAAATAGTTTGTACTTTTAAAGACATATTTATTTATTTAGACATTTACACCCTATTTTTTCTCCCCAGTGGGGATCCAAAGTGGCATACGTTGTTCTTCTTTCCTCCATTTTATCTTCAAAACAACCCTGTGAGGCAGGTTAAGCTGAGTGTGTGTGACTGGCCCACGGTCACCCAGCAGCCTTCCATGGCAGAATGGGGATTCAAACCTGGGTCTCCCAGATCCTAGTCTTCTGACATTCTAGCTCCTCCGCCATGCTGGCTTTCCATTTCCATCTCAAGCTGAGAGACAGAAGAGACGTTGGGGAATACAACTCATACTGCCCCCACCACAGAGGCTGCTCTGACCCTGGGGTATCCCTGCACAGAGTGGGTGGAAGCCCATACCACCACCATCACTAGCTGGTGGCCCCCACAAGGGGTGAGTGGCAACTGCTGCCACCACAGGTTCCCAGTCCCTGCCCTGAACGTGGTGGACAGGTGCAAAGTGGGAATAAGCCACCACTGCCAGGAAATGCTGGCCCCCACCTGATGCAGGTGGGCGAACATGGCAAGCCTGCACCTTCTCTGGCCCCTCTGTCAGCGAGTGGTGGGAGCAGTGGGGGTCAGGGCCAATGTTCCCACTAAGCTGTGGAGTCTTGTGAGCAAGAATTCTGTTTTGTGAGCTCCTGACATTAAAGTTGTGAGTGAGCAATTTGGCTATTGCATCAATTAGTTTGCTCTGCAGCCATCCTTCCTGAGCTAAGACAAAACCGTGTGAGCCAGAGGCTAAAATACTGTGAGCTGGCTCACACTAACTCAGCTTAGAGGGAACACTGGTCAGGGCCCTTTTTGCCTCCCACTCTGCCTGTTTTTAGGAGACTACCTGTTTTTAAATACCAGCTACAGTCTCACTGAACAGTTTTCCTCGCCTTAGCTCCTATCTCCTTTGGTGACAGGGAGAGAATAGAACCATTTCTTGCAAGGGTGAATCTAAGCAAGGTGTACTGGACACCGGAAGTGCTACATAGACAATAAGCATTATTAATTGGACTGATTCTACCTCAAGGCCCAACTTTTAATGGGTTCTGCCTTTCTCAATAGCTCTGGGGTTTTTTTAAAAAGCCCTTTGGAGAATTAGAGGTCGCTGCTTAATTTGCAAATGGGAGCTGGTTGCTTGGAATCCTCCAAGATTTATAGTGTTCCATTTGCAAATACTTCTCTCTATGTATGTGAACAGCTGTGCTGATGAAGAAGGGACTGAAAGTACAGCCAGAAGTTTGAAGGAAAATGTGGAGTCGTTGGATTGCCAGCACCTTCTCTGTGTCCCAGCTGATCTTCCACTCAGCTCAAGTCTATGAGAGCTGAAGGATAAAAGCCCTCGAGAAAAAGCATTGAATGTGCTGTGACCAGAGAAAGAAATCAGCTGTCTGTACATCTCAGCTTAGAACCATAGAATCATAGCGTTGGAAGGGACTTCCAGGGTCATCTAGTCCAACCCCCTACACAATGCAGGGCATTCACAAATATGTCCCGCCCACACCTCAGTCACGTTTGCACTCTCAGCAGTCTTTCACTCACCAGAGGCTTCCAATAGTAAACCACACTTAGTCCAGTGGTAACTATATACAGGAATTTATTTACAGTATTTACAGCTCTCCAACAAAGTGCTTCACCAGACTCCATCCACCATCAAGGGGAAATATACAGTGGTACATTGCTACATATATACACATGACCAGCCAATCAGAACAGTGCTGACTCATTCTGACTGTGCCTCAGCTCTGCCCAGTCCAAACTGGCTGAAACTAGATTATCACAGCTGTCAGCTGTCAGGTAGATCCTAGAGATCTAGGTGCTGAAACTTATACACCAACAACCCCCAGTGACCACTGTTCCATGCCAAGGAGATGGCAAAAAACCTCCAGGATCCCCGGCCAAACTGGCATGGAGAACAATTGCTTCCTGACCCCTAAAATGGCAATCGGCATTTCCCTGGGCATGTAAGAAAGGGCCTTGAGAACTAAGCTCTGGTGCAACCCTTCCTGCCCTCCCTTCTCATGATCTGCTGAAGTTCACAGAATCAGCACTGCTGTCAGATGGCCATTTAGCCGCCATGTAAAAACCTCCAAAGAAGGAGAGCCCACCACCTCCCGAAGAAGCCTGTTCCACTGAGGACCCGCTCTAACTGTCAGGAAGTTCTTCCTAATGTTTAAACAAAAACTCTTCTGATTTAATTTCAACCTGTTGGTTCTGGTCTGACCTTCTGGGGCAGCAGAAAAGAACTCTGCACCATCCTCTATATGACAGCCCAAGTACATGAAGATGGTTATCATATCACCTCTCATTTAATGAACCAAGCCTCTAGTCCTTATGGCTGAGGCTTGAAAGGTCCAAACCATGCCTGCTGAAATCTCAGAAGCCAGAGGGCTGGGGATTTCCCACAGCTCCTTGCCCCTCCTTAGGTAGCCCCCCCCCATCACAGTCCTCCCAACAGCAGAAGATTACTTGTAGTGTTGCTCAAATGCCCGTGGGTTCAGCTTACAATCTGTTCATCACTCACAAACGTGGAGCTGATTTTGGGGTTGACTAATCATTCGCTGTGACCTGATTTGGATGGCCCAGGCTAGCCTGATCTCATGAGATCCTGGAAGCCAAGCAGGGTCGACTATGGTTAGTACTTGTATGGGAGACACCCAAAGGGTACCAGAGTCACTATACAGAGGAAGGCAATGGCAAACCACCTCTGTTCACCTGTTGCCTTGACAATCCCATGAGGGGTTACAAGTTGCAGTTGGCTGCAACTTGACAGTGCTTTCCACCACCATTCGTCTGCTCATGGAGCCGTTTGTGGCTGTTTGGCAGGTTGGTTCACTGTGTTCCCTTCCTAACATCACAGCACAACTGGCTTTGTGTGTGCACGCTCATTTTCACACAGCTTAATTAACTCCTGCTCCCTCTCCCTGTCCTTGCTTCTCTGTTGTTCTGCTCAGCAGGCAGTTGTTTAAATAGACAGTTAATTCAGTCACAAATCAGATAAATCAGTCATAAATAAACACAGTGGGTTTGGGGAGGGAAATAACCT